GGTGCAGAACCACAGATTACAAACAGTTTAATAGGCGTAATCTTTTTTAGCCGCGAATTGTCACTGCTAACCTACTCGCCGTTCTGCACGCAGATATACCCTCACTCCTACGCTGATGCAACTTTAATGATAGTGGTAATGACACAATAGCTCACGCACAAAAAAGGACACAAATGAGTAGTAAGAAAGAAGTCAGTTTTAATGAGCAACGCATCGACGTACTTATAGAGACGATTGCCAAATCTGTATATCGCAATAATAAATTTAATAACAAATGAATCCACAATTGTGACCGTAGATGGCCGCTATATACTTCGCTTTGTACGATGGCGTTTTGAAATAAATAGGGTTATGCTTGCGTTCCCGACAATGTTTTGTAAAACTATTACTCTATATAGACGTTGTTATCGGCAGGGTGGAGGAATTACCAATTTTGGCATTAAAAGATACTGTCAATGGAATCTTGTAAAACAAAACCTAGCAACGAGTTGTGACACCACAGACTGTTTGTGCATATAATATGGTATATAATTGCGCAAACCCTAACCTAATTTGCATAAAAAAAATTTAAATATCAAAACCCCTAGCCCTTATTTCATTCACAATACCAAAAATAGCAAAATCCAATTGAAGCTGACGACTCATGGCAATTCCCATTTTTGCCAAAAAATTGCGTGACTGCGAAAGTTACGTCGACTGGCGTGCTCAAAATAGACGTTTAAATATAGGAAGCAAATAGTCAGTAACAAACTATCCAATTTTAAACAATGTGGCCAAACGGTTCCTGAGTTATCGTGTGACGCGTAGGCAAAATGTTTGACGGACGGACGGGACGGACGGACGGATCCGTACGAACAGACGTGGCTTACGAACGCCATGGCATAGCTCAGCTTGACGATGTTAAAGTGACCTAAAACCAAAACTGTGGTTAGAATAAACACACGTCTAACAAATTCACGTCTGTCTAAAATCTGCCCGTGTATTGATACCAACTGATTGTAAGTACTTAGTTGATGACATCACGCAAATAGTATCCCGAATAACCTGATCGCATTTCAAGCGAAGATATTGTCTACCACAATAATGTTCTGCACTTGATCATCGACCCGGGGCCCAGCGCCGTCGATCGCGATCCATACCACTCCGTAGGGCTGGCTATCACGCCAACGGTTCTGATTTCAACAGCGACTGCGTCTAACCGCTGATCGCTCGGGCAGATAGGCGGGCCGCTCGTGTTGATCCCGGCGGTTTCGCCTCAGTGATAATGCTTGATTGCGGCCCGTGTTTCTGTCCGTATAACAACAACTGCTCGAACCGCGCGCGGCGCGCACGGCAAGCTGCTGCCCGACCGCGACGTCGGCATCGCGTCCAGGTGAAATTGATTTCGAATTGGCCTTTTTTAAAAATCGCGCGCGAAGAGAGCGTTGGCAGACCCCGCAATGATGATATCATGAATAAAATGGACGGAACGGCTCGCAGCCTAATGTTTTAAAAACGTTTCGTGCAAAGAGTTTTCTCGGCTGGCAGACAGCGTCTCCGTCGCGTCATCGTATCGTTATTGTCACGTCCGCAGCGCAAGACCATCCGATCCGACAGCGCCCGTATTGACATAGATTAGGTAAATGCATTACGCGAAAATATCTGAGGCAACAATTTGATATATATCGTTTTGTGTTTGTTCAGGCAATATTTGCTGTCAATTGCTAAAACGGCCGGTCGCACGAATAAAACCAAATACAAAATGCGCAGCGGACCGGTAATCAGTGCGAACTAAGGCGACGCGCGTAATTTGAACGAAGGAGGAAATCCATGGCGCTCCTCGAACTGTAAATCATTTGCACTAATGAGGTGATAAATGGCAAAATAATACGCAGGAAAAATATCATTGACAGCCCCACCTGCGCGACACGGCGCAACAATGTCTTTGAAGTGAGCAGAGTTCCTGCCTAACGATACTGCTCTACTCTTAACACGGCTCTAAACCACGCTTACTCTTAACGCGCCATATGCATGGATGGATTGATGGATGGATGGATGGATGGATGGATGGATGGATGGATGGATGGATGGATGGATGGATGGATGGATGGATGGATGAATGGATAGATGGATGGATGAATGGATGGATAGATCGATAGATGGATGGATGGATGGATGGATGGATGGATGGATGGATGGATGGATCGATAGATAGTTAGATAGATAGATAGATAGATAGATAATAAGATAACAATTACATATTACTAGATTGGTAGACTGTATATGATCTATTGTTTCGGAATTAAATTAAATAATGCGTAAAGTAATTTAGAATTCAGTAATTCAGAACAAGAAAGAAAGAGTATAACATAATAAGGGAATGCGGGAATACAAGAGAAAGATGCCCCTAACAGCAATCACTTGTCTCCAATGTGTTATGTGTGCACAATCCGTAAAAGGTGACTTACTGTTTAAGCCTAAACAAGCTCGGGACACATTTTGATCTTTTGAAACTAGAATGAAATGAAAACTAACGTTATTTTGCGTAGATCGTTATAAATACACGTACACGAAACTGAATTATACCTAGTTTGAAACACGAATACATTACAAAATGCATTACGAACTCATTATTATATTAATTATGCTATTTAATTAGATGCTAAGAAAATGCATTTCTAAAATCCATAGTCTTGCATCTATATTAGCGAAATCCATAGCTAGCCGGATGTATAATTGCAAGCAATTCAATGATAGCCGCAAAGCCACGCGTAAATTACAGCACTGTCTTTGACACAATTTCAAAACCCCAAGTCTATAGAAACAAAGTATCTGGAGAATCTCGCGGGATTTGACGAGAATAAATCCGATAAATCACGAGACGCATGCCAATTGATCAATCGGAATTGAACGCAGTGAAATCGTATTTAAAACCTCATGTGTTCCCGAGCGAACATCATAATGCATGGCTATATCTACACCTGCCGCCATAAGTGATGTAACCAAAATGGCGGCTCTGAAATGCTAAGACCAACGATGCCGCTTGTCTCATCCAGTTAATTATAATTGCCCGGCTGCCCTGAAATGCCTAAGCTTTGCTAGATTTCCTATCGGAACTAGATGTTCATCGTCTTTGTGTGAGGAATAACGTACATCTACGAAGAGAGAGATACAGATACAGAGAGGTGCACACAGCTGCATAAAGTGCAAAGAGCTCTAAGATCTCTTGAGCGGGATAGGTACGGAGACAAAAAGAAGTCAGGAGAGAAAGAGAAAAAGGAAGAGGGAAAATGCGAGGCGGAAATATAGAGAGATGAAGAGGGAATCGGAGAGATAGATAACGAGATATTAGAGGGACAGTAGGAAGTGGATTTGACACACACACATGCACGCGCGCACGCACATGCACGAACATGTATGCACGCGGACACGCACACGCAGCAGAAACGAGAGAGGTATAGGTTCAGATATTGGGAGAACGAAATACAAAGGCGGAAAGGAATGTAGAGATAATAAACGACGACGAGCGAGCGAGAGAAGTTGAAATGGGAGAGAGAGAGAGAGAGAGAGAGAGAGAGAGAGAGAGAGAGAGAGAGAGGAGAAGGGAAGTCGGTGTGTTCGCAACAAAAGATAGAGAAGGGGGAGAAGAGAGAGAGAGAGAGAGAACAAAAAGCCGAGCGAGTGAGAGAATGAAAGAGAAACTGAGGAAGGCATACACACGCACGGAAACGCACATGTACGCATGCACGCACGCACCCCCCCCCCCAAACACACACACGAAGAAACACACGAAGAGAGAGAGAGAGTGAGGCAGTGTGCGAATGAAAGAGAGACAAAGAGGGTGAAAGAGATACAGATCGCAAGAGGGAGAGAAAAACACCAGCATAACTTAACGCCAACAGCCGTGGCGAATCCTACAGCTACGCTCAGCGTACCTTGGCGACATCAAATCCAGAATGCTATTGCCGTGCGACGAGCGGTACGACAGCGTGTGGGCGAGGCTCGTCGCCATCGACACAGCCGTCGTGACAGGCAGCAGGGTCGGCGGATGGCTCAGCGGCATGTACGGCAGCGGGTTGATATGCGGCGGCTGGTGGCTGTAGCCGTTCGACAGCAGCGGAGATTTCTCCAAGTGACGCTCGCCTACAAGATAGGGAAGAATCATTGTCATCGAACGCCGATTGTCGCACCTAGTTGGTATTCCCGTCATCGCCATTAGTATACGTGCACGTCGGTGGCACTAGATTCGTATTTGCTCTTGCGCTAGACGGGTGTTGAAGTGAATCTAGCTGTCATCGCTTCAAGCGTGTGCATTGTGGTATGTATTTCATGTCGTCGCGCTTCAACCGCGCGAGAACTTCGCTAGAGATGTCAACTTCTACACTCGTTGACAGGGGGTTTGCCAGTGCATATTCGCATGTGATCGCTACAGAATATTATGCATAATGCTGCATACGATAAATTAGGCAGTTCTGTAGGCCAAAGAGGTACGCATACATATTTGCGACCTCGGTCTAGCCTGAGATATTTGGGCAAAGCTCGTGCGTGCTTCTTGCATGACGTACAATAGCTTTACACCGAGAAGTCGCATCCGTCCACTCGACACGCAATATTTATGATTATTCGAAAAACATTTAATCACAAACATGTATAAAATGCGCATGTATATATAGGCATAGTAGACCAACCTTCGTGTCATAAAGCTAATCGTAACTATACCACTTATGAGCTCTGAACTTTAATAAAAGACGAAAGCTAATGGAATTGTCACTAAAGGAAACAATGTTACATCGCTTTAGTGTTCAGTATACATAATTCATATAGCGAATATTTATAGATGGTAGTATAACCTAATTTGATGGGACTTCATATTCATATATATATATATATATATATATATATATATAGAAAGAGAGAGAGAGAGAGAGAACTAGATAGATATATAGATAGATATAGAGATAGATATTGCTTGCGCGGTATATGTGATGGCGGCAGCTCACAGTATGACATGCTATCGGTACCATTGCTGGCTGGCACGTTGTGTCGACGGCTGTCCTTCTCCGCGAGGACGCTGTGACGAAGATCCTTCGGTGTCTCCTCGGCCCCGTGTCCGTGCCTCTCTGCCGTCCCGCGCTCCTCGTGGCGCTCCTCCTTAATGTTGCTCCTAGAAGAAGCCAAGGCAGACCATCAGGAGGTTGAGAGGCGTGCTGGCGGCAGGGAGGGGGAGGAGTGGGTAGGAGAGCGGGTTGGAAAGAGGAAGGGAAGCTGATGGAACGAGGGGAACGGCTGAGAGAGCGGGAGCGAAAGGGTGGGAGGGCGGGATGATAGTTGGGTATGCAGGGAGGCAGTTAAGAGACCCCAGAAGCAAGGGAGCAAGGGAGCAAGGGGAGTGGGCGGTAAAGCAGGGGAGCGGGTGGGTGAGCGGGAGATTGTGTGGGAGTGTGTGTGTGCACTAGAGCGGGGAGCCGGTGAGAGGAGGAAGGGGGAGGGGGTAGGTACCTCGCGCGTCAACGTGGTGCGAACCGATCATTATAGATACGCCATCGACCAAACCGAGAGTGACATCACCGGCCGTTTCTGCTGTGTATAATTAAATAAACAGTACAAACGGCGGACAGCACGCGATGCATAATGCTAATTAAATAGTCGCGTACGTGTGCGGACTTCGTGAACGGCGAGAAAAGGAAACGGGAAAAATATGCGAAGGTTAAATTAACAGGGTAACGATGAATTGATACGATATATACGTTTCTATTTCGCGTCGTCTGGTTATATACAGCGCGCGGTCGCCGTCCCTACTGTCTGTATGTGAGTGGTGAGTGTGAGGCGGTGTTGTTGTGTGGAGCTGGTCGGCTGCCTGGATAGCACGGTGATCGGCGCGCAGTAATGGCGTGATATGATTGCGTGTGAGACGCTATGAGTTAACGGCAGCTGCATTCACGCTAAGCGCATGCTAGCAGCGGAGGGAGGGGGCAAGACGTGCAACGCGTTATGCTGTCTCCCCCCCCATCAGATAGGATAGATATGTAATAGATAGATAAAGGTGGGTGGATTGGATGGTGATGATGGATGGATGGGAGTGAATGGATGATGGATGATGGATGGATTGGATGAATGGATGGATGGATGGATAGATGGATGGATGGATGGATGGATGTAGTGATGGATGATGATGGATGGATGATGGATGGATGGATGGTGGGTGGATGGATGGATGCAGATTGGATGGATGGATGGATGGAATAGATGGTGGATGGATGGATGGATGGATGCTATCATGCATGCATGGATGATTGATGGATGGTATTGGAGGGATGGATATGGATGGATGGAGGATGATGGATGGATGATGGATGGATGGATGAATGGGATAGAGGATGGATGAATGGAGGATAGATCGATAGAGGATGGAATTGGGATGGATGGATGGATGGATGGAAGATGGATGATCGATAGATAGTAGATAAGATATGATAGACTAGATAGATATAAATAACAATACATTATTAAGATTGGTAGACTGTATATGATCTATTGTTTCGGAATTAAATTAAATAATGGTAAGTATTAGAATCAGTATATTCAGCAAGAAGAAAAGTATAACATAATAAGGGAATGCGGAATACAGAAAGATGCCTAACAGCAATCACTTGTCTCAAATGTGTTATGTGTGCAAATAGAAAACGGTGACTTACTGTTTAAGCCTAAACAGCTGGGACCATTTTGATGCTTTTGAAAACTAGAATGAATGAAAACTAACGTTATTTTTGCGTAGATTCGTGTAAAAATAGACGTACACGAAACTGAATTAATACTAAGTTTGAAACCGAATACATTACAAATGCAGTTACGGGAACTCATATGTATAAGTTTAAGTTATGTATTTAATGTAGATGCTAAGCGAAAATGCATTCTAAAATCCATAGTCTTCGCCATCTATATTAGCGAAATCGCATAGCTACCGGATGTATAAATTGGCAAGCAATCAATGATAAGCGCAAGTCCACGCGTAAATTAGCTGAGCACTGTTTTGAACACAATATAAAACTCCAAGTCATAGAAACAAAGTATCATGGAGATCTCGCGGGATTTGACGAGAATAAATCCGATAAATGACGGAGAGCATGCCAATGCTGATCAGATCGAATTGAACGCAGTGAAATCGATTTAAAAGTCTATGTGTTCCGACGAACATCATAATGCGTGGCTAGATCTACAACCTGCGCCATTAAGTTATAGTACCAAAATGGCGGCTCTGAAATGCTAAGACACGATGGCGCTTGTACTCATCAAGTTAATTTAGATTGCCACGGCTGCCCTGAAATGCCTACGCTTTGCCAGATTTCTATCGCAACAGAGTGTTCATCGTCTTGTGTGAGAAAAGTAAACATCTACGAAGAGAGAGATACAGATACAGAGATGTCACACAGCTGCATAAAGTCAAAGAGCTAAGATATCTTGAGCGTGAATAGGTAGGAGATCAAACGAAGTAGGAGAGAAAGAGAAAAAGGAAGAGGGAAAATGCGAGGCGAAATATAGAGAGATGAAGAGGGATATCGGGAGAGGATAGATAAACGAGATATTAGAGGGACAGCTAGGAAGTGGATTTGACACACGGTCGCCCGATCGTGGCGATTGGGCACCTCGTGCTTCTGGTAATCGCTAGGCGGATTCCCTATACCCCTTGTCTCTCTCGTCAGGCTCTGGGCCTGCATTTCCTGCTTCTGTCACTCTCTGCGGTACTACGAGCTGGCCCTTGGTTCTTCGGGGGCGTGGCGTGGTGCGAGTGCACTACTCGGCGTCCGGTGGCCCTGCGCCGCGGCTTGGCCGCGCGAAGTACACAACTGAGGCTGGAGGGATTTCGCCGTAGGTCGGCGCGCCGCTGGGGTGACGCCACATCAGCGCGCGCACGCACGATGCACGAACATGTATGCACGCGACACGCACAACGCAGCAGAAAACGTAGAGAGTATAAGCGTTCAGATATTGGGAGAACGAATACAAGGGCAAAGGAATGTAAGATAATAACGAGACGAGCGAGCGAGAGAAGTTGAATGGAGAGAGAGAGAGAGAGAGAGAGAGGAGAGAGAGAGAGAGAGGAGAAGGGAGTCGTGTGTTCGCGAACAAAAGATAGAGAAGGGGAGCAAGAGAGAGAGAGAGAGAAAAAGACAAAAAGCCGAGCGAGTGAGAGAATGAAAGAGTAAACTGCAGGAAGGCATACACACGGGCGGAAACGCACACGTACGCATGCACGCACGCACCCCCCCCCCCCGCAAAACACACACGAGAAACAACACGAAGAGAGAGAGAGAGTGAGGCAGTGTGCGAATAAAGAGACAAAGAGGGTGAAAGAAGATACAGATCGCAAGGAGGGAGAGAAAACAACCAGCATAAACTTAAGCGCCAACGAGCCGTGGCGATCCTACAGCCTACGAGCTAGCGTAACCTTGCGGCGTCAAATCCAGACATGCTATTGCCGTGCGACGAGGCGTACGCAAACGAGCGTGTGGGCCGAGGCTCGTCGGCCATCCGACACAGGCCGTCGTGACAGGCAGCAGGGTCGCGATGCTCAGCGGCATGTACGCAGAGCGGGTTGATATGCGGCGGCTGTGGCTGTAAGCCGTTCGACAGCAGCGGATGATTTCTGCCAAGTGACGCTCGCCTCACAAGATAGGGAAGAATCATTGTATCGAACGTCCGATTGTCGCACCTAAGTTGGTATTCCCGTCATCCGCCATTATGTATAGGTGCACGTCGGTGGCAGCTAGATTCGTCAATTTGCTCTTAGCGCTTAGACGGGTGTTTTGAAGTGAATCTAGCTGTCAGTCGCTTGCAGCGGTGCATTGTGGTGATGTATTATCATTGTCTCGCGCTTCAACCGCGACGAGACTTCGCTAAGAGATGTCATCTACACTCGTTGACAGGGGGTTTGCCATGCATATTCGCATGTTAATCGCTACAGAATATTATGATAATGCTGCATACGATAAATTATGCAGTTCTGTAGGCCAAAGAGGTACGCATACTATATTGCGACCTCGTCTAGCCTGAGATATTTGGCAAAGCTCGTGGCGTGCTTCTTCATGACGTACAATAGCTTTACACCGAGAAGTCGCATCCGTCACGTCGACAGCGCAATATTTATTGATTATTCGAAAAACATTTAATCATAAACATGTATAAAATGCGCATGTATATATAGGCATAGTAGACCAATCGTTCGTGTCATAAAGCTAATCGTAAACTAATCACTTATGAGCTCTGAACTTAATAAACTAAAAGTACGAAAGCTAATGCGAATGTCACTAAAGGAAACAATGTTAGCATCGCTTAGTGTTCAGTATACCATCAATTCATTATAGCGAATATTTATTAGATGTTAGTATTAACCTAGATTTGTGGACTTCATATCATATATATATAATAATATAGATATTGTAGACGATCATACTAGA